GCAGGAATAGGCCCTTTAGGTCTTCTAAGGATTAGAAGATATTTCGGGTCCTACTGCCAAACCTTCTTTAGTCATCCCTTTTTCTGATCCACCATTTCTTGCTAAACACATTTTAGAATCTGTACACATTGCATGTTCTCCCTGTGCCTGAACCCATGTCTGCAACCTAATCTGCATATTCACACTGTTAAAAATCTATGGCGTCCTTTACCAAACCACCTGCAATCATGCATGGTTCTTCAAGTCATGACGCCCTAACATCATGAAGCAAATAACATGTCAGGTTCTTGAAGAGTGTAACTCTGTAAAGTGATATTGTTATTTGATTCCACGCTGCAGAGTCCAGCCCGTCTCTGATCTACTCCATTTCAATATAAAGCGAAACTGTTCACCTTAAAACACAGGTCATATGAACATTTTTCTTCTACTGCATTCCATACCAATGATTTAAGCTAACCTGCCTGACTTTTTCCCAGTGAAGCAGAACATTCAGCATGCACCTGAGGAAGTCTGTTTTGAGACTGTATTATTTCTACTATGTATATATACAACATGTGCATGCTGGAAGCAAAAACATTTACACTGCGGCCCCCTACTTTCTTTCTTCAATGAATTCTTACTTTTGGTGTCCAGTCCTCCTCTGTAGCCTGTCCAGCCTTTCAAAGCAATTTTGTCGCCCATGAGACCCAAAAATCTTTGAAAGCTTTCACTTCCAGTTTCTACATATAGAAGGGAGAAATGTTAGGAATGAAAAGTGCATGTACTAAGTAAGAGAGCTGCTACTGAAGATTAATGTACAGAAACAGGTCCTGCTCCCAGTAATACACAGCTACAGGCAGAAATGAAAGTTTCAGCTGAACTATTTTCTCCTTCTGTTATCCAAGCCTTTTATCTTTATACATATCTTTGTCTAGTCTTGTAGAATGACAGAAAAGGGTTCATCACGTGTCATTACATAGTGACCTCTTGTGCTAATTCCAAGGCTCTGTCCGAGTGCATAGAAGAATGTCATTACAATGCAAAAACTTAAGAACAAAAGATCAAGAAGCAAGAGTGACATTTCACAGCTAGGAAGAGTTGCCTACCCTTATGGCTTTTCTTTTGTTTTTAACCTTGTGTTGTATAGTCTATTTCTAGAAAGGAAATTTCAATATCCTTCAAGTTGTAACAACCTTTGATAGACATAGAAGGTTCTATGCTCTATTTTTGCACCTAATATGAACGTGAAGACTACTGCTGGCGTATTCATCACCTCCCTTCTGTTTTCCACATGCGCAGTATCTGGCGCTATCCTACGGGGGTTTTTTTGGATGAATAAATAATTAAGAAAAAGGGGGAAAAACTCACCATTGCTGAACATTTCATCATCTGTAAGCTGCCCATCCTTAGCATAAAGGACTCCAAATTTAAAATTTACAGATCCCTGAGAAATAAAACCAGAGATTTTACGATAAACAGGCAAACAAAAAAGACCTAAAATAATGTTTTCTCTAAAAATACCTTTGACCATAGATTATGAATTGTATTATATATGTTTAACTTTCAAAATGATACTTAAAATGATTTTTGACTTCATATGTTGCATACTAATGTTACATTTTTTACTACAATAAGCGATCAACTTCTACGTTCCCACAAGCGCAGCAGTGCAAATATTTCAAATGCAAAGCTATATTCATTGAGCAGACCTGTAAGCTAGTAGTGATAAGTTTACATTTACCTCTTGCTCTTCAAGAACCAATAAATCCTGTAAATAAAAAAACCACGTTTAACACCCTTGCTTTAAAGACAACACAAAGAAAATTACTACATCCTTGCGTATTTAAATGTTCTTTTGAAGTGGATACTTCAGTTGAAATGATGAAGAAAGGTTACTCTGTAATATCACATAATCCTACTCACAACTGTTATCCTGCTACTGCAATAAAGAAACTAGTAGCATTTACACTTAATGACTTATTTTTTTCCAGGAAAAAAATAAAGAAAAATTACCAAAAAGAAGAAAAAGTTATCGCTTACCTTTTGTATCTCAGGATGAAGAATTTCCCTTGGGCTCTTCTCAAACTTGTCAAGACTCATAGCACTGAAATGCAACTGAAATATTATTTTACAGCAGAGAAGGGATACGTTTCAACATTAATCCACTAACTGGTTACAGAAGGAACTGTTCAAAGGGCCTCTCTCATTGCATGCTTTGTGGAGTAACTATTTATTTTCCATAACACTAACCTCCAAGATTTCCTGAACTTCTTTTTTCTTTTAAAAACAGAAATGAATAAGGGACACTGCACGAACATCAGCTTTAAATTTACCATGTTTACTTATAAAGCACAAACTTTCATTCTATCACCCTTCACTCTGGCTTTACACATACTCATTGAGAGCATTTCAGGATGACTCAATAAGCTGTTTGGTTTTGTAAACTCTTATTCTCTCTTCTGAAATAATACAGGCAACTCAAATGAAATGCAAGCACTTTAACAATAAATTTACATATCAAAGATCCACAAATAGAAAAACAGAAAAAAGTTACTTCAATAAGAAACAAGATCAACTATCTCAATAAGATACAATATGCAACATTTTTTTCCTAATCCATGTTTCTACGTGGATTTAATATTATTTTGCTATATATTCTCCTACCGTTAACTTACAGAAGTTACAGCAGCACATCACACACTGCAGAATACAGTCCGTATGGGGCACAGTGGTGGATCGGCACAGTGGTGACAGATCTTTCCACTGTTGTTTATGCTAGACCACAATACAGACAGCATTTAATTTAGTCCCTTTTGAAAGGGATTTAAATGGTCCAATTCATTCACAAAAAAACCCAGGGTTACTCAGCAACCAGATTTCTTTGAGACAGACAGTTCTGTACCCTACATTCGCACTGGTCGTACACAGGGTGAGATGTCAAAGGAATACCAGTCAGCTCAGGTGCAGGCTTAAGGACCCTAAAAGCAAAAGATACTCAGGGAAGAGAATTTAGTCTAAGCCTGAGTGGGCAAAAGGATCCCCTTCATCTGGATCAGCTGGACGTTCATCTAGCTGATCACAGGTGGCACAAACCCTAGGAGAAGCAGGCAGAAGCAGAGACTGCTGGAGGTAGCAACTGCAGAAAACACCTGTGATAACAGTTTGGATTTTCCCAAACTGCTTACTGTGCAGTTCTGAGTGATGTGTCCTATCACTCAAGGCTGGATATATTTTTTTTTCTTACAGCATCTGAAGGAAGGCACACTACTCGCCACGATCCCAAGTGCGAAAAGGAGCTCAAAGCCATTTCATTTCCCTCTCAATCTACAGAATTTCAATAACAAACAATCCTGAAAAGATTTGGCAAAGGAAGCCAAACTCATCCCAGTATTAAAGGAAAGGGCGAGTGCCTTTTTTCTAAGCAAACCAGCTACATCAGCTAAGTTTAACAACCTGATTATAACTGTCTGCCTCTGACTTAAAGAAATGTAGCCACAGAGCAGGACAGAACAGGTTTTCGAGGTACATATATACCATGATCCTATGACTCCAATTAGTTATATTTTTTACTCAAGTAACTATAATTGATACTTAGCTTATTGTTTTATATTTTTCTGTAGAGCCCTATCATTCTCTAAGCAGGTGACTTTGCTTGCTGTGAATGCAGCTACAACCAGGGACAGACGAAGTTGCTACGCAAGCAACAAACTCTGAGGCAAGCCTGAGGAGCCGAGATACACAGCCTGCCAGAATAATCTTACTCAGTAGTTGCTGCCAGCCTTCAGCTCCAGGTACGCACAGCTCACTCTACTGGACTCAGAGGGAGATGAAGGAACAAATATGTTTCTCCATTGTGGGTGCAGCTTGTTGGATAGTTTTTTTTTTTTTTTAGCTACAAGAATTCTGAACTTGGCTCTACACATTAATAACGGCAATTTAGCAATTATAATAGGCTCGTGTTTTTGTATGGACTACGTAGAACACTTAACAAATCAACTAATGATTCAGCTTTGTACTACATCTCCAACACCTCTGGACTGAGGGTTTTCAGGCTTGCTCTGTCTGAACTTTTCTTGACCTGTCTACGACTTTGTTTTAGTGGTTTAGCTATAACAGCAATTTTTCCAACTGACCAGCTGTCTGTAGCTTTTTTTTTTTTTTTTTACTTTTATCTTTGTACAGTACAACCAAAGTTTATAATAGCCGCTCAGTAATAAGCAGTTGTTCTATGTAGAATGAGATCTATGACTGCAACGTGATGAAACGTACACCTGGTATAACAGCTCAGGCCTTGAGAAGTGAAGACACAGGACGCAAAGTGAACTAGCACAGGCATAATATGATAACAGATGGGCCACAGCCGTGGCACTGGAGACCACGCATCTATAAACAACTCAGCCAGACCAGCATGGATAGTGCATACGTGACTCAGCCCAACATGAACTGTAACAGCCAACATATGAACAAAAGAGCTTTGAAGAGAACAATGGGCTTGAGCTGGTTTCAATCCATGTAGTCCTTCCCACAGACTGGGGATGCCCAGCATCATGACAAAAAGAGTAGTCTAGACACTGGTAATGAGATTCATGTTTTTATTCTGAATCAATTGTACATTGCAATTGTTATACTCTGCTAAATGTAATTTGTGTTTATATTGTGATTTGAGAACATTGCTGTATCATCATGCTAAAATCAAAATCACGTGTAACTTCAAATAACTTCAAATAAGTAAACTTTCTATTAAACATTAAACCCTCCATATGTGCAATATCTAAAAGAACCTGGTCAGAGAGTATTGGACTCTGAGAAATAAGAAAGAATTTGGGGGAGTACAAGGAAACAACGTACATGGAAGGGGACATCTTTGAAAAAAATCATTCTCATTTACCCTTCCAGTTCCATCCAAGAGTTTCTACTTCTAAGGGGCAAAATGAGCACTTCCAAACCTGTTCTTAGCCAATGTAAATGAAAAGACATTCATTAGCTGGGATTTGCCACTTAGCACTTATTTACAAACCTTGAGAGACCAAGAGACAGAAAAGTACAACCAGCCTTGGCAGCTTCCATAACGGTATTGTCGATAAAAAGGGTCTTCACAGATGACAACCAGATGTCTAACTACCTGCAAGTAGGCTCAGACTCATCACTGAATGAGATTTGCAGGGAACAAGTTATCTGAAACAAATCTCTATTTTTCCCTGCAAGAGACTGGAGCACCGCAGGACGGAGTCCATGAAGGTGTTTCAACAAAAGTGTAACACCCTGGATGACAAAAAGACAAAATTTCTCCACTCTGGAGTGCCTGATCAAAAGTGCGTATGAGGGAGAGGGAGAAGCTAGGTTAGAAACTGACATTGAGAAGAGGTATTTCAGGGACTGGTGGGCAGACACGGACTCTAACAAGGAGAATCATCCTTCTCTCACAAAGGCTAAGTACAGGAAAGCAAGTCGTTGCCACATTTACTGAGCAGGAATCTGCTGTCAGTGACAAGGTAATGAAAACTGAATGGCCAGCTACCATCACTACTAGGGGCAACGACAAAAGAACATTCAGAAAGGGAAGCTTACAGGCATGTGTCATATATTGGCAGCATAACATATGCATGGAGTATACCCTGATTATGCACCAGACTCCTGTGACGGAGAGGGACACCTAACACAGGGATGCTGTTAGAGGTGCTTGGTCTAGCACCCACGACCTGTAATACTGCTTTGAACCAGATGGATTGGTCCTCAGTATCAGAAATACTGCTGTAGAAGCCAGAGCTGCAGGATTTAGGAGAGGAGACTTAGCTCATCTCCATAAGCCAGGTGAAGGAGACCTGAAACATTTCCAACTCTATGTCTCGACACTCCAAATCGGAGAGACAGCCCTGGAGATCAAAATTAAGAAGCCAGGCTCAATGGTCTACTAGCCTCAGAAATCTTGGACAGTTGTGGGCAAATCCAGATTTGCTGCTACTGATTTCAGATTTTTCTGAGACTGTCAAAAAGATATTCCCTATTCCCAGAAAGCGCATCTCATATGAGCACTGGCAATGTTATCCAGCGGTGAAGTGGGGACCTCCAGTTCTGAGCAATTAATAAACATGATTGCAACTACCACGGACCAAAGATTTTGAGGACCTGCAGACTGCCCATTTATCTGAGACACACTTCTTGTTAAGTAAACATTTTCCCCCTCTGCTCAGCACTGGTGGGGCCACACCTGGAGTACTGTGTCCAGTCTGGGCTCCACAACACAAGAGAGATGGAGCTTCTAGAGTAAGTCCAGCAAAGGGCCACTGATATGATTAAGGGACTGCAGCATCTGTCATATGAGGAAAGGCAGAGAAAGCTGGGACTGCTTAACCTAGAGAAGGCTCACGGGGGATCTTATCAATCTGTGTAAGTATCTGAAGGGAGGCTGTAAAGATGACAGAGCCAGACCTTTTTCAGCAGTGCCCAGTGGGGTAGGACAAGAGGCAGCAGGCACACACTGAAACACAGGAAGTTCCATCTGAATCTAAGGAAAATCTTTTTTATTGTGAGGGTGAGTGAGCACTGGAACAGGTTGCCCAAAGAGTCTCAATCCTTGGAGATATTCAAGAGCCATCCAGACACGGTCCTGGCCAACCTGCTCTAGGTGAGCCTAGCAGGGGGCTTGGACTAGATGATCTCCAGAGGTTTCTTCCAATCTCAGTCATTCTGTGATTCTGTTTGCCTTTGTGAAATGACAGCACTTATACTATGGATTTCTAAAGGTAGTTCAATTCTTACAGAAGATGCATTTGAAGAAGCCATCAGCGAGGAATTCCCATTTGAGAAAACACATCAGCATCATTAGATCATAAAAATTACAGGTGAAATAGGAATGAACACTTCGCAGAAAGGATTTCTGATTTCTGAACTTACCACACTGTTGAAAGAAATAGAAATAGTGTTGGGTTTGCTCACTTTATATTCTCCTCTATCACAAAGGAGGCAGGACAGAGTATGAGCATCCCCATACTGACTCTGGCTGGGGGAATGAATTTTCTCAGCTTCAGTGACAGCGTGTATAACCTGGTCATAGAGTGAAATATATATGAGGACCATTTCTTGAAGATATAATTCTTAGTTTCTGCCCTATTTGATTATGCCAGCCATAGCCATGTTATAATCAAATCTCTAGTCAAAATCTACTGCTCCTAAGGACGGGTCTGTCTAGTTTAAACATATATTTCCTCTCCACCACTGAAGTTCCATATAGCACCTATTTTCCCATTCACTTGAAAACAGATCCTCGGCCAAAGAAAGAGAATTTTTCTCTTTTCTAAGCTGTAACTTAGTATAATACAGGACTGGCATAAAACCACTTTTTGCTGTCCTGAAAAATTAAGATTTGTATACTTAGTTTTACTGTTTCTATAAATCTATCATGAAACCATACAACAGAAGCTTTGAATTACAGGAAAAGAGATATAGACAAATATTGTAGCTGATAACTTATTTGTAAATACATACCTTAATATAGATTTCACTGACAACGTTTTTGTGGGACAATAAGGAAGGCATATTTTCTGAGTACCCTATAAAGGAAAAAAAACTAGGAAACATTACAGGACATATTGACATCTCCCATGCATTCAAATATGAATATTAAGAAAAACAAGCAAGTAAAAAGCAAAGATCAAGACAGTCCTCGTTTTATTTAGGGGAAGGAGGAGGGCAGCAGGAGGGAGTTATGTATGGTGCAAAATTATTGTTGCTTAGTTTAGACTAGTCTACCTGTGGAAATTAAAGAGGAAACTAGCACTACTACTTTGGGCATTATGAGGGCTGCTGAAATTAGTAGGTATTACAAACTATTTCTCATCGCCAAAAAGGTGAACCATACATCTACACTAAAGAGTTTTAAATCATTTCCTGCAATAAAAGGTAGTTATGAAGAGATAAGTAAAAAAAAAAAATTAAGAACAGAATTAAAAAATAATAGTGAAATCAGTATCACACTTGGCTATTTTCCTGAAGTTGTACAGAAAAATCCTAAAAGCACTATAAAATAATTGCATAAATTGATGGCAGGACATAATCAAGAGCAATTTAGGCAACATTTCTAAAAATAAGGATGAGTTGCAGATAAGGACAGAAAAAAATGTGGCAACACAGATTTCTGCAAGAAAGCTTAGTTTAGTTTTACCTCCTATGGTAACAATTACATGTTTTTATTACATAAAATGAAAAATATATACTAAATACTGAAATTATGAAGAAAGAAAAAAAAAGTCAATGAGGAGAAATTTATCCAAAACAAAAAGCAAACACAAAAAGTCAGAGAAGTGATAGGTATTTGTTCCTTACTGTTTTTCTCCAAAGAATTGAACGATATTGAGGAACACGCTGGTTATTTTGGTCAGAGAGTACAACAGATAGAAAGAAAGGGTTTTTCTCTACATCTGTACCTACATAATTTTGATGAACTGTTAGGAAAAAACAAGAAGTGTTATCAAATGTAAAGAAGACATGCACACACAAATGTGTATACACACACACACACACACACACACATATATACATGCATATATACATATGCATACACAGTAACACACACACACACAATATAAATATATAATATATATAAAAAGATAAGAGACTGGCATGGCCTTCAAGGCCAAGAGGGGAGTCAAAACCTCCCCTTTTCATAGCAGGGAATCATTACATTGGTTCAGCTCCTTACAACTCAACCTAAAGCCTCTGTCTTTAGGTTAAAAAAATATATGAAACACTGACTCATTTTCTGTACAAGTCAGAAGAATTATTAACACTAAACTAGGACCATATTTTTTCACATTTAAATAATTGTAGTTCAAAGCTACAATGCATTACCTCTAAACAAGTCTTCAACCTGTTTTTAAAAAGATAATTACCTTTTCCTAGAAAATATTTGAAATACCATCTTGTATGATACTCCGGGTTTTCCAGATGCACATCCGTTCTGTGCCATGTACCTGGAGCGTAGTCTGCATTCTGAAACAGAATTGGGAGACTATTACATTAAATGCTGAATGAAAACAGAGAAAGTAATTCAGGCAAAGGCCAATGAAGAGTAGCTGATTCACCAGAAGAGTTTCAGCCTTATTATCTCCATTTTAAAAAGCAAAGAATTATTCTGAAGTCAGTTATCCTGCAGCTGAAATTAAAACTTCTTACAGTGCATTTCACGTTGAATGCCTTTTTTTTTTTTTTAAATAACTGCAGTCCTTTCCCTTTGTGCTACTGTTATGGGTAACAGCTTACTATTCCACCAAAAAGACGATGTTTGAACGTAGGATTTCAAGTAAAGATAAGTAGTGTTAAAACTTAAAAATAAGTAAATTGATAAACAGATTTCTGCCTCCAGATTTTATTTTCTGTTCTTCCCAAAATAAAAATCTTCAGGGACTCCTTGCTACACCAGAGCACGCTTCCGGAAGTTCTCCAGTGTTGTTTCGGGACCAGCTGGTTAAGCTAAATCCCCAAATGTCCCTCAAGTCCTTTTCTATTAACAGTTAACACAGCAATAGCAATTACTAAAAAGCCATTCTCCATACCCGTTCACCTTGCGGCCATTCATCAACCGCACAGAGAACCTTTCTGTGATGCAGGCTAATCAACTTTTGACCTGCATGAAACTGAACTAAAAAGACAGCATGCAGAACATGACCTCACAGCACATGAACGCAGAATAGTTAGTTTGCTTTAACTCTGCACTTGACAACACTGATGCAAAAAAATGATCAATAACAGTTTACTAGTAACATCGGGTTATTATAAGCTTGCCAAGGCCTTACATATACTTCCCTAATAGTGAATCTGATAAAAATAAGGATTGAAGAACGATGATTCAAATTAGAATTTCTTTGTTAGTTACTTCATTAAATGACACCTTCAAACTAACTAATTCTATGGGAATTTCTGCCATCTGCCAAATAACAATAATTATGAAGAGCTAGATCCCCACAAGGATTTAATTTTTAGGCCACTTCTTTACATTACTCCCCGCAATGCCACTCCACAGACCAGTTAACACAAGGGTCCCTTCACAAGCATAGAGGAAATTACATGCCCAGGACATGGATCCCTAAAAGCCAGTCTACTAAAGACAGCTGCCTAAGCTACTCAGTAAAAAAATGTAAAGTGGGAGAAGAGACTCCAGCCCCACGACTTTTTGAAAATTAATAACTTCTTCTACATGAACTTCCTTCTGAAAGCAGCTGTTCAAGCCAGCATCCCCTCACAAAATACAACCAGAAGAAAGAGTAGTAACGTCTTCGCCTTTCACCAAATCATTAGTGGTTACAGTAGCGGTGAGATGTGGAAGCTTTACCCCTTCCTTGAATGAGGGAACCGAATGTACTTCTACCCTTCTCCTCCCTTTTTCTTGCCTCTCAGATACAGCTGCACGCTGGAGATAGACAGAATTCTCAATTCTCCCTGCTATAACAACTATACTAGGTATAAAATACTTAAACATTAACCAGAGCAGATACCGATACATAGGTCTTCTGCATCTTCAATGTCTGGACATACTTGTCTATTAAGTATTCAAATGATTTCACGTAAACCAAAACAGCTGCAACATGATTACAGACTTGTAAACTTCTGTTTTGCATTATCATTTCACACTAATTTTCCTTCACTGTATGTTTTGAAAGATTAATGTCAATTACTGTATTTAAGACTAAATATTCAATGGGGATGAGTCCTGAAATTTAAGGCATTTGTTTAAAAGGCAAAACTAAAACAAGCATTTTCTCAAAAATGATGACACACAGCTTTTGAACGTGTCCAGCTTGAATATGTAGACACAAACTAAAAGTCAGAAAACAAATCCTGTAAAATATTTATGTTTTAGAAATGTAGCTAATTTTGCATGGCTTGCATTTGTTCAGAATGACTTATACAACAGTTATGACTAAGTGCATTTCCTTACCATTCTCTTAAAAAAAAATTTCAGATTGAAGTCACACATCTTAAAATACATTATTTACATCATTTCTTTGATAAGATTGTGAGGTCGTCTTTCTTCAAACATTAAGAAGATATTTACAGTTGAAGATGTTTTACAAAGAACGTATATATATTTTTTTCCTATTAGAAACGTAAGTGTCCCTGGAGTGGGCAGAAGGAACATTATGAGTTTATCAGCACAGGAAGCCAGAGGGAATGACTCTTACAGGCTCTAGTCCGCTTCTTCGTCTCATATCTGACGGTAAGCATAACTGCTACAAGACAGCTAAGGGAAAAAAGGAAGTTATAACCTCATGACACCAAGGAACAAACTTGAAAGCCTAAAGGTTGGCTTGAATGTAATAGCATCACCAGGACATCAGCATGAAGTGTTGGAATGGAGACTGCAAAGCATTACTCAGAGGATATGTGTTTTTCTTGTAATATTATCAGGTGAACAAAATGCTACTGAAACGAAAGGAAATTTCCCTTACAAAAAATGAAACTGTTGAGATTACATACTCTTGAAAGAAGATCTAAGCTAGACATGGGGAAAAGAAACCCCACCAACCCCCTCCTGTTAGATTCTTACATTCTCATATTATTTAGCATTTTTCAAGATTGCTTCATAGGCAATTGACTGTAAATAAGTCTTCTTAGTTGTGAATAGTAACTGAAGCTGACTTATTTTTTCAGCTTCCTATGAGTTTCTTTAACCACTTACCTCATCAGAGGTGCCATTTTCCACACGGAATCGTCCAGCTCTTTGAATGGCTCCATCAGCATCACTAGATATAAGCTGTAAGAGAATTTAAGCTACAGGTTCTAATTTCAAAAATATCCATACGATCAGTAACTAAAGCTCACACTGTGGTTTCTCCTTCTTCCAGCCATTATATGATTGCCCACACGGATGGGATCAGCACAGCTATCATCAGCTTGCATATAGTTGTGGAATGACCCGATTATAACTCTAAGGATGCATAAAGGGAAGAAATATTTGCTCTTTTGGTGCCTTCCAGCACCAACTACAAATCCTCCTGTTTCAGCTTCTGGCTGCACCAACATGCAGAATGCCTATAGAGGGATTTCAGCATGGAAAATATGATTCTTCTAAACAATTATCAAATAAACAAATATTAAAGTTCTCCCCTACTACTCCAGTATGTTGTAACAGAAGAACCAGAAACAAGCAGCGGCCATCTGCTCCTCACATTGTTAGATGCAAATGATAAACAACGGGCATGGTTAACCATTCATGGCCTAGATTTGTTCTCTTTCCAGAAGTTCATCTTGAAGATTGCTCCTTTCAAAACAACAGGTCTTACAGACATCTTTATCCCAGTCCCGTGAGACTTGCTGAGCCTAAACTCCCCCGTGTTGGCAGTTTTGATGAGACTAGCAGTCTTTTATTGCATTTTATATGCTGATGCTTTCAGGAGACGGACAGCAGCAAGAATCTCCCAACATAATTGTAAGTGATGACACTGAACAACATAAGGTAGAGGAGATTCCTAGCCTGCTTCCAACATTAATATCAGAAAGTATGGCTAATTTCCAGTTGAAAATTTCAGTATGTTTGGCACCTTCATAAATATTCTGGAAAACCTGCCTGTTCTTTTTATAAGGGAATCCAGAGATTTGCAGTATACTGAGTCTATCTTTGTTCTAAAAAAAATTTCCAAAAAGTCAATGAAATGTAGGATAAATTGTCATTTCTGCTGTGTTCAACAATATTGCTTAGGATTCATACAACAGAAGACCGGGAAGAGAACATGTTTTTTCCTCAAAAATCAGCTGCCAATGCCATTGCATATTACTTCTCTCAAAACTGCAAAAAATGTCACATACCATATCAAACTTAAGAAATGGGATCTGAACAACAATAACGCAACCATAATCATTCCTGGTTTCCTTCGAGCAGTCCCTGTTATTCTAGGACAATACTTTCTCCCTTTTTTTGGTGGAAAAGTTCTCAAAGCATTTTCAAGTTCTGTTTCAAGTTCATCCCTCGCTTTGAAGGGATCGGAGGCTATGTCAGGAACAAACTAACATGGCAAAGACTCCAACAGATCCTGGGGCCTCGTATGAACCGTTAAGACAGATGATTTGGACAACTGGTCATATTACACCAGTGGGAAAGACATTCCTATGAAAATGTTTAGGGTAGGGACAAAATAATTAGGTTGCAGTAAATAAAACAACGGAAACAATGGAGCAATTGGGAGGCTGCTAGAGAAAACACTAAGGGGAAAAAGTTTAAATAGAATATTTTGAAAGTGCATCAAATATCTTTATATGTTTGCACCTCAAAAGATAAAAAGACACACTTTTATAAAATACAAGTAGAATTTTAAGAAAGATCAATCAAAAGACAAGATCAGTTGCATGAGCTTACTGCGAATTTATATTTTTCAGTAACTTTTCTTTTTGCAGCAAAAGAACGCAAATACTAGCAGTAAAAGTCTCTTAATACATAGCAGTTCACTTGCCTTTTTGAGTAACACTAAACTTAATACATGGCATGTATGGAAAGAAAGGAAAGCACCTGGTTTTCTTGCAATACAACTTTCAGAAACTAAGTCAGCAATTTATATCAAAAGTATAAATATTGATTAACATACTATCCAAGAGCTTTACATTACAACAATACCTAACATGACATTAGTGATTTTTTCTTACAGTAACAGAGCTAGGGTTCAGTTTCTTTACATCTCCTCATTTTCTGTTTATATGTATTTCATTATGGCCTTATATACAGAGTCATATTATTTCAGCTGCTGACACATTGCTAATTTCTACAGCAGAGAAGAAATTTATCTGTGAGAAAAATGAAGTGTTAACTTCATCTTTCAATTTGAAGAAAATATAGAATAAACTAACAGATTTTAGGGAACAAAGGTTTTTTAATATCCTTATTCTGCCTAATTCTTTTAATTTTAAACCTTCTCCCACTACTGAGAGGCATGCACAAACACACATATGCGCACACGTGAGCATGCACACAGTTTAACTCACATCACCAACAGTACTTGATCAAATATAATCCTAATATTTTGCAAACTTCATGTTAGAGGAAGAAAAAAGGGCTCAATTTCAATCTTTCTGAACAATCTGGAAGTAAACACAAAAATCTGGGTGTTATTTATACAACACTTTCTATCACGGTAAGATGAAAGATTCATAAACGGGGTAGTAAAAAAGACTTCCTAGAAGAGGTTTCCTGTATCTATTCTGAACCCCTTCTTTACTGCACTATCATTTTCAAGCCCATCTTAGAAAGCACATTTTCCAAACTAATTCCAGTCTTTTACCTGGAAATGAAAAGAAAAGGATTTGAACTCTGCATTACAAACTGTTAAAATTACAGGATGGGCTGTGTAAACTTACCAGTTCCACAGATCCATAATGCTTTCTGCTAAACTCTCCGCGTCTGCAACCCAGGTCTTCAGAGACGGAGCTGGAACAGAAACGCTTCATCACTATACATAATCAACTAGCCTTAGAGCTCCCGCAACACTATTTTGCAGTGTATAAGCTCATTACTGTAAAGAACATTTCTTACAACATGCACAACCTCTAGTGGCCATTGCAGTTTGGCTTTCATATCACCCTCAAACGGAAAGCCACGTCTGTGCCCTGATGGAAAGTAAAAGCTATGATTAAATTAAATATTTAGTCATGATATGATCAACTCAGAGTTCCAAAGTGGATGGTGGCTTGTAATTGCATTTGAGTTCTCTGTTTAATCTAAGGGAACAGAAACCTGCACCAAACTTAATGCCTTGAGCAGAACAACTGCACCTATGTTCAATAAGCTCATGCTTGGTATGTTACTACCACATTTATTGGAGAGTCTTTATTTAGCCTACAGACAGGGAGAAACTAAACAAGCAATTACTTTAATTCAAAAGTGTAAGGAAAGAATGGCATTTCCTATGTTTCCTCCTCCCCTAACCTTAGCAAAGCTAAAATTGTCAAGTAAGCAAAAAGGAAGCCTAGAATGCAAAGTTCAAAATCCCCATGCGTTAGCACATATAATCGCATACAGTCATGTCACATTAAGTACATCAACACGTGCTTCTTGAGGTCAAACAGATGGCAAATATCTCCTCTAACTATAAACACTAAGCTTCCCATATTTGAAATAGGGATATACATGTTAAAATACAAGCTAAATAAAGATTTGGGTGCAAATTTAACACAAATCTTGATTAGCCAGTGTGTGCCATGCCGAATAGCTCAAACATTCTATCATGTTTGAAACTTGCAGTCCACCATCAAGTCAGCAGTAATGAAAATGAAGTAATTTATTTTTAATTTTAACGAAAGTAAAAAAAAACCCACAGACCAACAATATGGGATTCACTTTTTGCTATAAATTGTAGCACCAAATCAATAAGAGAAGAAATACTTAAATTTTAGTGCAACATCCTTATACTTGCTTCTTGTCTTTAGGACACACCATGACACTAGATTCTGAATTATTTTAATTTGTGGACAACTTTTCTTTTTGGATTTGTATTTAAAGGTACTTGGGTAATTCATACCAACCTACTTTCTTGGTCAGTTCTCCTTCAGCCAGACACCATGGTGCACAAATGTAGCTATCCTGCTTCCAAAGCAAGACACGGCCTATACAGCCAGTTTGGTCCCTGAAGGCAGCAAGGCCTTAGTCTGTGTTCCGACACCTATAGGGGACACAAATATATATGCCCCGGTAGGAGTAATAACAGTGATTTGAGGGAAATCGGCCACAAGAACTGAGTTTAAACCACATTAGACGTGATTTTTTAAAGGCTCCAAAACAATCACACATTTTGAAGTGTTGCCACCTGAACACAAACGCAATAATTTAAGATTTTAGCTTTTGGTTGCCCACACAATGAATTTAGGTTTGACTGAAGACAGTTGTTATCTTAAGTTTCCTGAGAATCAGCATGAAATACCTTCCAGGTAACTGTATGTTCCTATATGGAGAGGAGAGAAGAAGAGGAGAGGAGAGAAGAAGAGGAGAGGAGAGAAGAAGAGGAGAGGAGAGAAGAAGAGGAGAGGAGAGAAGAAGAGGAGAGGAGAGAAGAAGAGGAGAGGAGAGAAGAAGAGGAGAGGAGAGAAGAAGAGGAGAGGAGAGAAGAAGAGGAGAGGAGAGAAGAAGAGGAGAGGAGAGAAGAAGAGGAGAGGAGAGAAGAAGAGGAGAGGAGAGAAGAAGAGGAGAGGAGAGAAGAAGAGGAGAGGAGAGAAGAAGAGGAGAGGAGAGAAGAAGAGGAGAGGAGAGAAGAAGAGGAGAGGAGAGAAGAAGAGGAGAGGAGAGAAGAAGAGGAGAGGAGAGAAGAAGAGGAGAGGAGAGAAGAAGAGGAGAGGAGAGAAGAAGAGGAGAGGAGAGAAGAAGAGGAGAGGAGAGAAGAAGAGGAGAGGAGAGAAGAAGAGGAGAGGAGAGAAGAAGAGGAGAGGAGAGAAGAAGAGGAGAGGAGAGAAGAAGAGGAGAGGAGAGAAGAAGAGGAGAGGAGAGAAGAAGAGGAGAGGAGAGAAGAAGAGGAGAGGAGAGAAGAAGAGGAGAGGAGAGAAGAAGAGGAGAGGAGAGAAGAAGAGGAGAGGAGAGAAGAAGAGGAGAGGAGAGAAGAAGAGGAGAGGAGAGAAGAAGAGGAGAGGAGAGAAGAAGAGGAGAGGAGAGAAGAAGAGGAGAGGAGAGAAGAAGAGGAGAGGAGAGAAGAAGAGGAGAGGAGAGAAGAAGAGGAGAGGAGAGAAGAAGAGGAGAGGAGAGAAGAAGAGGAGAGGAGAGAAGAAGAGGAGAGGAGAGAAGAAGAGGAGAGGAGAGAAGAAGAGGAGAGGAGAGAAGAAGAGGAGAGGAGAGAAGAAGAGGAGAGGAGAGAAGAAGAGGAGAGGAGAGAAGAAGAGGAGAGGAGAGAAGAAGAGGAGAGGAGAGAAGAAGAGGAGAGGAGAGAAGAAGAGGAGAGGAGAGAAGAAGAGGAGAGGAGAGAAGAAGAGGAGAGGAGAGAAGAAGAGGAGAGGAGAGAAGAAGAGGAGAGGAGAGAAGAAGAGGAGAGGAGAGAAGAAGAGGAGAGGAGAGAAGAAGAGGAGAGGAGAGAAGAAGAGGAGAGGAGAGAAGAAGAGGAGAGGAGAGAAGAAGAGGAGAGGAGAGAAGAAGAGGAGAGGAGAGAAGAAGAGGAGAGGAGAGAAGAAGAGGAGAGGAGAGAAGAAGAGGAGAGGAGAGAAGAAGAGGAGAGGAGAGAAGAAGAGGAGAGGAGAGAAGAAGAGGAGAGGAGAGAAGAAGAGGAGAGGAGAGAAGAAGAGGAGAGGAGAGAAGAAGAGGAGAGGAGAGAAGAAGAGGAGAGGAGAGAAGAAGAGGAGAGGAGAGAAGAAGAGGAGAGGAGAGAAGAAGAGGAGAGGAGAGAAGAAGAGGAGAGGAGAGAAGAAGAGGAGAGGAGAGAAGAAGAGGAGAGGAGAGAAGAAGAGGAGAGGAGAGAAGAAGAGGAGAGGAGAGAAGAAGAGGAGAGGAGAGAAGAAGAGGAGAGGAGAGAAGAAGAGGAGAGGAGAGAAGAAGAGGAGAGGAGAGAAGAAGAGGAGAGGAGAGAAGAAGAGGAGAGGAGAGAAGAAGAGGAGAGGAGAGAAGAAGAGGAGAGGAGAGAAGAAGAGGAGAGGAGAGAAGAAGAGGAGAGGAGAGAAGAAGAGGAGAGGAGAGAAGAAGAGGAGAGGAGAGAAGAAGAGGAGAGGAGAGAAGAAGAGGAGAGGAGAGAAGAAGAGGAGAGGAGAGAAGAAGAGGAGAGGAGAGAAGAAGAGGAGAGGAGAGAAGAAGAGGAGAGGAGAGAAGAAGAGGAGAGGAGAGAAGAAGAGGAGAGGAGAGAAGAAGAGGAGAGGAGAGAAGAAGAGGAGAGGAGAGAAGAAGAGGAGAGGAGAGAAGAAGAGGAGAGGAGAGAAGAAGAGGAGAGGAGAGAAGAAGAGGAGAGGAGAGAAGAAGAGGAGAGGAGAGAAGAAGAGGAGAGGAGAGAAGAAGAGGAGAGGAGAGAAGAAGAGGAGAGGAGAGAAGAAGAGGAGAGGAGAGAAGAAGAGGAGAGGAGAGAAGAAGAGGAGAGGAGAGAAGAAGAGGAGAGGAGAGAAGAAGAGGAGAGGAGAGAAGAAGAGGAGAGGAGAGAAGAAGAGGAGAGGAGAGAAGAAGAGGAGAGGAGAGAAGAAGAGGAGAGGAGAGAAGAAGAGGAGAGGAGAGAAGAAGAGGAGAGGAGAGAAGAAGAGGAGAGGAGAGAAGAAGAGGAGAGGAGAGAAGAAGAGGAGAGGAGAGAAGAAGAGGAGAGGAGAGAAGAAGAGGAGAGGAGAGAAGAAGAGGAGAGGAGAGAAGAAGAGGAGAGGAGAGAAGAAGAGGAGAGGAGAGAAGAAGAGGAGAGGAGAGAAGAAGAGGAGAGGAGAGAAGAAGAGGAGAGGAGAGAAGAAGAGGAGAGGAGAGAAGAAGAGGAGAGGAGAGAAGAAGAGGAGAGGAGAGAAGAAGAGGAGAGGAGAGAAGAAGAGGAGAGGAGAGAAGAAGAGGAGAGGAGAGAAGAAGAGGAGAGGAGAGAAGAAGAGGAGAGGAGAGAAGAAGAGGAGAGGAGAGAAGAAGAGGAGAGGAGAGAAGAAGAGGAGAGGAGAGAAGAAGAGGAGAGGAGAGAAGAAGAGGAGAGGAGAGAAGAAGAGGAGAGGAGAGAAGAAGAGGAGAGGAGAGAAGAAGAGGAGAGGAGAGAAGAAGAGGAGAGGAGAGAAGAAGAGGAGAGGAGAGAAGAAGAGGAGAGGAGAGAAGAAGAGGAGAGGAGAGAAGAAGAGGAGAGGAGAGAAGAAGAGGAGAGGAGAGAAGAAGAGGAGAGGAGAGAAGAAGAGGAGAGGAGAGAAGAAGAGGAGAGGAGAGAAGAAGAGGAGAGGAGAGAAGAAGAGGAGAGGAGAGAAGAAGAGGAGAGGAGAGAAGAAGAGGAGAGGAGAGAAGAAGAGGAGAGGAGAGAAGAAGAGGAGAGGAGAGAAGAAGAGGAGAGGAGAGAAGAAGAGGAGAGGAGAGAAGAAGAGGAGAGGAGAGAAGAAGAGGAGAGGAGAGAAGAAGAGGAGAGGAGAGAAGAAGAGGAGAGGAGAGAAGAAGAGGAGAGGAGAGAAGAAGAGGAGAGGAGAGAAGAAGAGGAGAGGAGAGAAGAAGAGGAGAGGAGAGAAGAAGAGGAGAGGAGAGAAGAAGAGGAGAGGAGAGAAGAAGAGGAGAGGAGAGAAGAAGAGGAGAGGAGAGAAGAAGAGGAGAGGAGAGAAGAAGAGGAGAGGAGAGAAGAAGAGGAGAGGAGAGAAGAAGAGGAGAGGAGAGAAGAAGAGGAGAGGAGAGAAGAAGAGGAGAGGAGAGAAGAAGAGGAGAGGAGAGAAGAAGAGGAGAGGAGAGAAGAAGAGGAGAGGAGGAGAGGAGGGGAGGAGGGGAGGGGAGGAGAGGAGAGGAGGAGAGGAGAGGAGGAGGAGAGGAGAAGAGAAGAGACGAGACTGGGACTTGGGTC